TATTACTAACTACCCAATAGAAACAAAAAAATTCAATCATGGCAATCATAATTCTCAATTATTAGGTATTGGAAACTAATAGAGTAAGTAAATAAGCCAAAGACCTGAAGTGATTAAGTTATCATATTTTTTGACTAAATAACTAAGTTGAGTTTGACCATATCATTTAGCAACATATATCACGCCAATATAAATTATATTTTGGAACCATCTATTTATCCAATTCATATTCTATAATTACTAAAAGCAGCATGCTGAAGTAGATATAATCATATAATTTGTCCCATGCCATATGTGGAATTCTTGAAGTGATAAAAAATGACAGTCTAATGCACAAAATATTTCGTATTTATGCAAGATTCGAGGAAGGGCCACATTTTTAAGCGTGTAATGTAGACAGTCTACTCTAATATAAGCATTAATAGTTGCTTCCGCGACTTAAACTAGTGACCTATACGTTATACGGAGATAATTTTTACCGTTATTCCAAGACTTTAAAGGATCGTATATAGAAACTTGAATCCGATCACTTCATACATTTATTTAAGTACGAAAACGAAAAGAAACGAAAATATATTAGAAACGTACGGAGGGAAGAAGTAATTTCATGCAAGTGAAATAAATGATATACAACTTACTTAGTGGATGAATAGTGTTTATCACGCATGAAATAATGTTAGGAGAAGAACTTTTTAGACGATAAGAAGGAAAAGAATTTATTTTAATTTGGTATTTGTACTAAATCAATTGATACAAAATACTTATATAATTTTTTTATCATTTAATCATGATTAAATGATACATTTTCATTCTTTAGTTTGGAACTTTGAAAATAAGATTTCTTTCTAAAACACCAAGCGTAGTTACTAATGATTTCCGCTATAGAGAGTATTAGGTCTCATTTTTTTTTTTTTTAAGATTAACACGTTTGAATCTGAATACACTATCTGAATATCAAGATATATATTAAGATTAAGACATCTGAATCTTAACACACAACTGAATATTAAGATGTGTATTAAGATCAGAATGCTAAATGATTAAGACTATTTGATTTTTAACATCTGAATGTATAAAATTTATCTTTATTTGAAAATTAGTAAGCATAAAATTTGAATAAAATACTAATTAATCTAATATTCTATCAATAATATATATAGTTTTTTAAAATATGATAGTTATTGATGGTGATGGCTAACGAGCGAATGCCGACTAGAGGCGGTGGTGGTAGTTTTGGTTGATGGTGGTTGATGATAGGCTATAATTGAATATTTTAGTCGCTTATTACACTCGAATTTACTGCACTTTAATTGAGTTTGCGCTTTAATCGCTAGTGTTTTGCACTAATTGTGTGTTTTATGCCTTGTAGGTGTGATTCCGAGCTATATAGATGTTATGGAATGAACTTAAGTGATTTGAAGCTTTGAATTCTGAATAAAAGATCAAGGAATTAAGCCGGGATCATGTTCGGGGGTCAAATTTGATAATTAAGTACGAACGAAGACTTGAGGAGGCATATTGCGCACTGTCTAGTAAAATAGACATAACTTTTTGCTCAGAACTCCATTTTGGCTCCACAATATATGGTTGGAAAGCTAACTCAAAGGGCTACAACTTTCATGTTTTACGTTTTTCCAAATTCCAAACAGAACAGGGTGAAAAATCGCGGTTCCACCGCGACCGCGGCAGAACCGCGATAGAAGATGGTCGCGGACAACTGAAGAATCAGAGGGCATGTTTGACCGCGGTACCACCGCGGCAAAACCGCGGCAGGAGGCGAAAATTTCAGGGACTTATGTGCAAAACACGGGATTTTAAGCCCTAAACCCTATATTAAACCAAGGAAGCCGGCCAAGAAAAAAGAGGGGACATATTTTGGACATAGATTCGACCTAAGGAGGCAAGAACACATTGGGAGCAAGGCGGAGAATTCTTCTACGAGTTTTTTCCTTCCTCTTCCTATTTTTCATTGTTGGTTATGACTTTTAGTATTGTAGTTTTACATACTATTATGAATAGCTAATTTGTTATCTAGAGTTTGATAGAACCTTTTGTAGGATAAATTCTTGTTATGTTTTTATATAATTGAGCCATAGCTTTTCTCTATTTGTTCAACTATGTTTATATTCTGGTTGATTGAAGAGCTCTCAATTAGCTGTGCCTATTTAGTATGCATAACTCGGGAGAGAGTGCATATTTAGGTAATTGTTGAACAACACTACTCCCAGAGTATATGAGGGATCAATAACCGAGGGTTTAAAGGTGGGATTAGGGATAACGAAGCCTTGGGTGCGATCTGAAGTGAGCTGTATTAAAAGCCAGCTAGCGTAGCTCGGGAGAGTGCGTCTAGTAAATTGTCGTAATTACTCGGGAGAGATTTACGGTAATAAGAGTGCTCATGCTCGGTAGAGAATACTTAGGCGAAATTATAGAAGACATAGCGGGAAGGATTCCGAAAATTGGGAAAATCATAACTCTAGACCTCCTTAATCTTTTCTCTAACCCTCAGCATCGTTAGTTGTTAATTTACTATTTTAATTTGTTAGTTAAGTAGTTAAACACAAGAATCTTAATATCTATAAGTTAGGAATTGTTCAAGATTGTCTTCTTGGTGATAGTGAACAGCTGTAGCTAAACCTTAGTTCTCTGTGGGATTCGACTCCGGACTTGTAAACCGGATTATATTTGCAACGACCGCATTGTCCTTTTTATAAGGCATAGTTGGGCGTGATCAGTGGTGGTTCAAGGTAGTAGCTAGTGGTGATTGGTAATAGTGGCGATTATGATTTAGGATGGTGGTGGTGGGTGGTGAGAGTTAATAATGGCGGGTAGTGGTGAGTGGTGGTAGGTTATAATGATGGGTAGTGCCGACTGTGGTTGTTGACTGTGATGGGGGTAGTTAGTTGAGGTAGTTGAGGTGAATGAGTGTTGGTTGTGGTTGAGAATGATGGTGACGGGAGTGGTGGAGATGGCGGGTGGTGATAGCCGATAATGGTGGCGGCTATGAATGATGATGATGGCGGTATGGTGGTGGTATGATGGTAGTTGATAATGGTAGGCGGTGCCAACAGTTAATAATGAATATGGATGATAGCATCTTAATGAAATTAAGTCTCAGTTATAGATCTTAATCATACAGACCTATTCAAACCCACTAATTGATTGTGAAGTAAAAAAAATAAAAAAAACTTAGTGATTAAGATCTGAATAATTAAGATTTAGACTTTAAAAACAAATGCACTTAACATCTGAAATCCGAATAATTAAGATTCAGATCTCCATTAAGTGTTAACAAATGAGACCTTAGACTCCTTATACAATTTCCTGCTAACATGTAAATCTTTATCCTTGAAACCCATTAATTGATTGTGAAGTAAAAAAAAATAAAAAATACTTAGTGATTAAAATTTGAATAATTAAGATTTAGACTTTAAAAATAAATGCACTTTAACATCTGAAATCCGAATAATTAAGATTCAGATCTCTATTAAGTGTTAACAAATGAGACCTTAGACTCCTTATACAATTTCCTGCTAACATGTAAATCTTTATCCTTGAAACTTTAGGATTTTCAAAACAAATTTTCGCTGAAACCTAATTCACACTATTATTGTCATGGTAATAGCCATGGGTAATTTTATGATGGAATCTCACATCAATGTCGGAGATGGATGGGTTCTTGGACTCTTTATATGATTTGGGCAATTCTCACTTTTTGAGTTAATTTTTAGGGTTGAGTTAGGTCCAAAGTCCATTCTTATCATGGTATCAGAGTCAGGCTTCTGATGTATGCCCGCATGATAGATTGTTCACGCTCCAACTGGCAGCATAAAATCCAACATTGGAGATGGATGAGTTCCTTTGACTCTATATACTACTTGGACAACCCTCACTTTTTGAGCTAGCTTTTGGGTTGCGTTAGACACTTAGGCTCAAGGTGCATCCATATCATTTTTTGAAATAAAAAGGAGAACAAAATGAAGATACGTCTAAAACATTGCAAGATAAAAAATAACTTAAAGTAAGACTTGAACCAAACACGAAAAAAGGGTAGAAATCATAAATTAAGACATTTGCATGAATATTAAGCAAGGGAAGCATGTTTTCCTGCCGACAGAAGCAAAGAATTTAAAAGATAATAGTAGACCTATTGCAGTCTGTAGCAAAGTTTTAATTTCCAAATTTAAGGAATTGCACTTTATTTCTGTCAATTTTCTAATATATTATTTATTGAAATTACTTATTACTCCCTCGTTTCCAGTTTATCTGAATCTATTTCTTTTTTGGTCCGTTCCGAAAAGAATGACCCCTTTCTAAATTTGGAAATAATTTAGCTTAAACTTTCAATTCTACACTTAATGAAAATCATTTATAATCCCTCGTTTTCAGTTTATGTGAACCTATTTCTTTTTTGGTCCGTTCCGAAAAGAATGACCCATTTCTAAATTTGGAAATAATTTAGCTTAAACTTTCAATTCTACCCTTAATGAAAATCAATTATAATCACATAAATACGCTGGATCCCTTTTTGACTTGTTTAGGAGCGCAAATTTCAAAAGTGTTCATTTTTTCTTAAACGTCGTGCCTAATCAAATGGGTTCAGATGAATTGGAACGGAGAGAATATTATTTATTAGCCGTAACGGTAGTAATTAATTCAATAGAATACCACAAAGCAAAGCAAACAAATTCCCCAAAGTACAAAAAGACAGAGATACTAAAATAATGAAATTAGTCGCAAGAAAAAAGGAAAAAGAGAAAGGATAAAGTAAACCCTCAAAGCTGTCAACCCTTTTCCGTGAAATGAGAAAGAATCAAACACCCAATTTTTTCCCATCCTTAGATTTCCGTAACTTAATTCATCTTTTTTAATTTCCCTTTTTTTTGTAAATTAGGGAACAACAACCGCAATAATATTAAAAAAGTAAACCGCACTAAGCAAGTCACGTACAACAGCTCGATCAAGAAAGTATGCAAGGTTTGGTATGGCTCATTTAATCATTGATAATCATCCATTATAGAAACATCATTTTATATATATATATATCCTTTCCAAAACAATACTCCATTAAGGAAAAACTTAAGTAGAACAGGGAAATCAAAGGATGATCATTAAGGAGAAAAGATCAAAAGAAACATGAGTACTTAATTTCCATTGGCATTTCCTGCTGTTAGCTTAAGTTAAGCTTACTTCAGCCAAGTCTACATAAATACGGCGTCTTCTTGGTTGTCTCTTCTTCTTTTTTTTTTTCCATATGAAATTGAAAAAAAGATAAAAATAAAGACTAAAAGACCCTTATTTTGGTAGACTTGACTTTGACGGCAACGCACTATTTTCGCATTTTCTTTTTTTCTCCGTAGAAAAGGGGGTCAGTGAAACAGTTAACGCCGTTAAAAAACTTCCAAACAAACTTCTTAAGCTTCAGAAACAGAAGTAGCGTCTTTAACGGAGGGATCAATTCCGCCGTTACCAATCGTGGCTGACTGGACAGTCAAAACCGACAAGTTAGGAGAGGATGGTCCACCAGCCTCGCCACCACCGCCGTTGGTGGCGGGGCCTCCTCCTCCGCCGAGTAGTGGGTTGTTTCCACCGTTGCCGTTAGGGATCATGGGGTTTCTGGAGTGACACGTGGCAGTTGAAATAGCTGTAGCTAAGGAAATTGGCATTAGGCATAAGCCTTTCCCTTGTAGATATTGCATTGCTGAACCCATATCCTCTTCCATTAGTTTAGCCACCTGATGCTCCGTTACCGTCATACTGTCATTGTTTGAAGACGACGCCGTTCCGTTACCTCCTCTCCCTCCATTTCCTTCTCCTCTTCCCTGTGCAATCCAATTATTATATGAGGTTACGGCATTACACTACCAGGTTGACTAAAAGACGATTACATGTGAATGTTAGTAATAATAAGTGGTGCAAGTTGTTGCCTATTATTACAAATTAAATAATGCTGAGAGTTTAAGGACCTGCTTGGCCATTAATTTTTTTATTTTTTTTCGAAACCAATATTTGGCCATAAAATCTTCAATTTTCACTTGAAGATGAATTTTGAATTTTTTTAAAAATATGAAAATTTTCAAAAAACTGTTTTTCATAATTTTCACTTCAGATGACTCACATAAATTTAAAAACAGCCCAAAATTATATTCATGTCCAAACACAACTCTAATTTTATCATTTTCACTTGATTTTTTTTAACTACTTTTTTTCGAAAGTTTACAATTCTTATGTCCAAATGCCCACTAAATAAACTGATTAGTGGCCAAAACATCCTTTATAAAGAGGTGTTATGCTATACCACTTTGCAAACAAAAAAATTCTTAACATGGTATATATATCAATTTGAAATAGAAAGTGAAATTTTAAAGGGATTTTCACACAAATAGCTGAATGAACTTATTATTTACTTTTCATATTTGATGTGCTTAAAATTATATACGTATAATATATGGATTATACATGTTATATATTTGTCGTCTATTTTTAATTTAAGCAGATAGATGGACAGCTACTTAGATTAATGTTTTAATTTCGAAACCAACATAATGCTAAATTTAAAATTCATATATGAATTAAATTGAGACAATAATTAATATCCCTTGCATAAAATTGAGCCTAGACTACTTGAACGATAATGCTGTGTTTATAGATAAAGTGTCAAAATTCCTTCTCAAAAAATAGATGAAGTCCCAAAATAGGGAAAGAAAAGGAAAGGGTTTTTTGCTAGGAGAGGGAAAAACTGGAAAAGAGTGACAGAAGGGGGAACATAAGTGGGCACGCGTGATACTTTTTGTTTTTGTCGCATTGTGCTGACAGAGAATTTGAGAGAGACAGATTAGAGAGGATAATTGGGTGAAATGGGGTATGGTATTTGGGGGGATTGTCTGTTCAAGAATTGTACCCATGCTTTTTTCTGGTAGTACTATTCCCTTTTTCATTTCCTGTTGTTTTTCCTTTAAATAGAAAACTCAATAGGTACAACCATCCTACATAGGCATTGGCTATTATCTCAAAAATGACGATTCTCTTTCACATTTTCTTGTTTTTCCTTTTCATTTGTATTCACTTTCTTTAGGATATTTATATGTATCTATTAGGGGTATGATGGGTATTTATATGTATTTATTAGGAGTGTGATGGGATGAATAAGATCTCGACAATCTAATGAGAAATTTTGAGTTGGAGCCTAGAATGAAAAAACTACAACGAGCACTTCCCCTTTAGAATTGCAAAAATAAAGTATCTAAGTCTTTCTATCTTTATTACTTACTAGGTTGGGGTAACGTCGCATACACACTATCCTCCCTAAATTGTAATTATGAGATTACATTGGATTTATTGTTGTTGATGTTGTAATGTATCCAAGTCTTTATAATTTTCATGAAGAGCATATGAACATTTTAGCTTAGATCAAAGATTAAGAAGATGATGATAGAAGTTTTATTCGCATTAGCTCATGTGGTAATTGATTAAGGTGATGCCAATCAATTCTATATCAATGATTACATGTGAAAATAATGAAAATTTCAAGACGGGTTACGATTAGTGTACCTCAGATGACATATCAGCAACTAGGGGAGCAACAGCTGCAGCACCACCCAATCTGCTCATACTCAGAACCTGAGTTCAGACACAAAATAAAAAACAAAAATAAAGCACAAAAACACATGGAATTGACCGAAAGTAATTCTTTACAATTAAAAAAAAACCATATTCACCAACTAATTTTAAAATATTATTTCCCATCCAAATTTGTCAACAAGGAAGCATCCTTTAGAATTTTAAATATCTCAATAAAATTAAAATATTAAAATAAAGATGAGAAAGAAAGAGAGAGTAGTAGTAGTACTTTGACTTGGAGCTGGAGGAATTTGACATAGTCGATGATCTCATCCAGCATTGAAGCCTTGTCCGTCTGTCATTCCATAACCCCAACAAACACAATCACGTTAGTTTCCCATTAATTTAAAAAAGTCAGAAAATTCACAATTTTACATTAATTTTCTTCTTTTAAATTAATTTAAAACATAAAACTTTTATTATGTCGACACACAATAAGTGAAGAACAATATAGTATACTCCCTCCGATCTCAAATGCCAAACTGAAGGTTTTAAAATATTTGATGTTTCAAAAAATACAATCAATATTAATTAGAGTATTTCTTCTTTTTTCAAATTCACCCTTATTGTTCTCGTTAGTGATATATTAATTATGCGAGACGTTTAGCAAAGAAATGAGATAATTCGAACAAATACACTTGTGATTAAAGCTATGTAATATCTTTTATAAGGGGTACGCAAAAATCTCAAAAGACATAAGATGATCAGGAGGTTGTGCAAAAATAAGGGCAGTCTTGCACAAAGCATCATGCATTCCAGGGTCGGGGAAAGATCGCACCTCAAGAAGTGTAATATAGACAGACCTAACCTAATGCAGGCATTAATGGCTACTTTCCAACATTTACACCAAATCAATATACATATGCTTGTACATAACTTCTCTCACTTACCTATGAATTATTATTAAGTATTCTTACCTCATTAAGTTACTTGATCATAATAAGTAGTAATAACAATTTATGCAAATAATTATTTAAGCTTAAAGAATAATGTGCTATAGTAATATGAACACACAATAGACAAATGCTAAATTAGATTAGATGCGGTAACTCTCAGCAATCCCCGGGAGAATCTCTTTTCTAGTTTCATTTTCAAGTACGCACGGAAAGATATACAAATTTACTATATTCTCCTCACACACTTTTCAATTCTACTCGCCCTAATATTCAACACGTGTCCACTTGAACATTATGATATCCATCAGGCACATGGGACGACAAATAGTAGAGTTACACCCAGAGCAGTTACAGTTTATTATATGATTAAATTTCTAATTTATGGAACTAATGATAAGTTAATCAAAGTAATGATCGGATAATTAATGATAATTAGATTTTAATTGAATTTAATTTACTTAGGGGCGAGTGAAATTACCTTATTGGCATTGGGTACCAGCTCCTGCAAAGCCTTCATTCTCTCTGCAATTCTCTCTCTACGTAACTGCCCACAAAAACAGAAACCCAGAAAATTCGGAAATCAGAAAACTGAACATAACAAACACGTACAAAAATCCAAAAACGAAAGGGGTAAAACTGTAATTAAAGCTTACTCGTTCAGCAATACTGTGAGGATCAGTTGCTTGTCCTCTACGAGCTCTCACTCGCTGTTGCTTTGGCTGTGCCGCCGGCGTTGTACCTCCACCAGCTGAACCACTTGCTGCCGGAGTTTGATTCATCGCCGGCGCCGTTGCCGGAGCTCCGAAACTCTGCGCCTGCATCGTTCCTCCCTATGATTTTTGAAAATAATATATAAATAAATTATCGTTAAATATATATATATATATATGCATGTAAAACTGTGTATAGACCTGAGGATGGAGAAAATGTTGAGGTTGACTTGAGTTTTGACCAAGAGATCCAGTGAATCCGTTGAAAAGAGCTTGAACGGAACTGTCATTAGCCTGTAATTAATGACGTAGTTAATTAATCGTTTAATAATTAGGAAAAATTGTTAAAAACAAGTCATAAATATGATTGAATTTACTGCGGAAAAAAAAATGAAACTCACCGGATTTCCGACGCCGTCGTTTTGGTCACCATTACCGAGCATGCTAAGGACCTGTATGATGCCAACTCAACTCCCTCTGTCTCTGAAGCTTTCATCACTCGCAGGGTCTGATACATTTCATCAATGAATTCCTGCGGGTCGGCCTCTAGGTCTGTGTCGGAGAACTCTGGAGGGGCTAGCCGCGAAAACTGGTTAACTTTGGAACTGGCAGAATTTCCCTGTCCGCTGGAGGACACAGGGGCATCATGAGATCTCTAGGNGCTGAAGAGGATTATTAGAAGGTGGAGGCTGGTGGTCATCGCCGGAGCTAGGGTTAGGCGGCAGCGGCGGAGAGAGGTGGTGGTGGTGTGGGTCCCAGGATTTGGAAAGGTCAGGCCAACAAGGTGAAGAAGAAGGAACAGAAGAGAGAATCTGGTCGAGGAAATCGTCGTGAGACGACGTCGGATCGTACTGGTTCATGGCTTGCATTATATCTTTAGTAACTTCTGTGCAAGTATATGACTCAATTTAGAAATAGATTATTTTGAGGAGAAGATAGAAAGATAGAAGACATAAATGAATCATATGTTATGGTTTCGGAATGTTGTTTATATAGGTCGTGTGTATGTGTTGATTTCAACCCCTCCCTACCCCCCCCCCCCCACCCACTCCCCCCTCTCCCCCCCCCCCCCCCCCCCCCCCCCCCCCCCCCCCCCCCCCCCCCCCCCCCCCCCCCCCCCCCCCCCCCCCCCCCCCCCACAAATAAAAAACCAAAATTTCTTCCTCTCACTCCGTCAACAAGGATGAAAAAGAAATATTACTATAAAAAAATAAATTACTAGTATAGTAGTATTAAGTGATTATTTTGGTTAATTGGTTTTAGTGTTTAAACATTGGAACACAAGGTTTTGAAAAAATATTTAAGTTATATACATGGATAAAGTCGAGGTTTTGTTACATTTGGAGGAGGACTTATGTATAACCATGATGAGTTACCGGTCCCCATATACTTCGACAGAAATTTTGTATATGTTTATGGGTATATCTTAAAAATAGTTAATTAAAACACTTGGTACTTTGAAGTCTGAACACCTAAAAGCCTTTAGAGGTTACTGGTTGAGCAGAATATTGATGCTCTCATAGCGTAATCTTAGGTCCATCTCTGATTATATTATTGGTGATTTTAATTCGTAATAGTAGGTTAATTATTAACTTTATCATATTACGAGATAATGTTTAGAAAATTCACCTTTAATTACTTTATAGGTAACACAATTTGATCAATTTTTTAACACCGTTTAACTAATAAAACATAAAACCTTATTAAAATTGTAGAAAAACACTTTAGATAAAACTTGTGAGTTTAAATTACTCAAAACAATTTTGTAAAATCTGGATATATTGGGTCGGCCAGTTACACTCACTACTAGAATTCCGGAAAAAAGCAACCAGCAAAAGCGACCAACGTTGGTCGCTTATTGGCCAAAAAGCGACCAAAAAGCGACCAACCACGATATTAAGCTGGTCCCTTTACCTTAGGGACCAAAGTTGGTCGCTAAATAGCGACCAACGTTGGTCTCCCAGGTAAATGGACCAAATTTTCCGGGTAAAGCATATTGCGACCAACTTTGGTCGCTCAAATATTTTAATATTATATATTTGGCGACCAAAGTTGGTCTCCAGATGTAAATAACGTTTTATTTTTATTTATTTTTAATCATATTAAGCGACCAACTTTGATCGCTATATTAATAAATATTATAATTTTTTATTTATTGGGCGACCAATATTGGTCGCCAATGGAAAGAATTAATTTTTTTTTAACTATAAGCGACCAACCTTGGTCGCAAAATTACCAGATTTTTTTTAAGTGAATAGCGACCAACTGGACACCAAAGTTGGTCGCTTTTTTGGTATATTTTTGGCAGAAACTGCCTGTTTTGGCTGCTACACCACCTGCCAGCTTATACCAAATATCCTAAACAGGCATTTTATGCCAGCAACAACAACAACAACAACAACACTAAAAACGCAACAAAATATAAAGATCAATAGAACTAAAATATTAAGCTAACAAAACTAAGTTAACGTTTATTACAAGCTCATTCGAAAACTAGTTCTATTGTCTAGTTCAAAGTATATAAAGTACTCAAGGAGTGTTCTTTTAGCATCCTCGTTCGAAAGTTGGATTGCCTCGGCCGTCTCGTTAGCTGACTGACTTCGTATGAATTCCCCCACATCAGCTCTGAAGCGAACCTATAAGAAAAATTATATTGAATTAATATTTCAAAATTTATATAAAAGTAAATCAAAATACTTAATGATAAGTAAAAAACTTACATGTATAGTCGAGGCTCGACCCTCGACCCACCTTTCTGAATTAGTCTCTTTCTTCTTCTTTACAATACGAGTTTCATTGAATAGCTCATCTTGCTTCATTGGCATCATAAAGCTGTCCGGTGGCTTTGGTGATTATCCTCATGGTACTATTACTCGGGATGAACTTGGATACAGAGAATAACTTGTATACATTAGCTGACAGGGTGTGTCTTTTGATCAATTGTTGTTCTCGTTAGCGACAATGATGTTGAGACTGCAATGACATGTGTTTCAACTAGAGATGATATAGGCAGGAATTTTAACATTTCCTAAGTAGATAAAAGAAAGATTATAGAGGAATTCTCTACTTCATTTTCCAAGGAGAAAAGAAGTTTAATTGAGAGTGACAAGGGTGATGGTGATGGAATATTTTCTGTTGGTCATGGCAGTTCCCATAAAACGGGGATCATAAGACTCTATGATGACAAAGATTATAGGAAGTTTTGTTCTCAACTTTCTTCCAAGTCTGATCCGTACAAGCTTAATGGGATATTGGTGATATATTCTTCTGAATCCGAAGAATATATCACCAATATCCCACTAAGCTAGTACGGATCAGACTTGGAAGAAAGTTAAGAACAAAACTTCCTATAATCTCTGTCATCATAGAGTCTTATGATCCCCGTTTTATGGGAACTGCCATGACCAACGGAAAACATTCCATCACCATCAACCTTGTCACTCCCAATTAAACTCCTTTTCCTCTTGGAAATTGAAGTATAGAATTCCTTTATTACCTCTTCTTTTATCTACTTAGGAAATGTTAAACTCCTACCTACACCATAACTATTTGAAACACATGTTCTTGCCTTCTCATCATCGTTGTCGCTAATGAGAAGAACAATTAAAGGCACACTCTGCCCAGATACTGTGTCTTAGTTATTCTTGGTGGAAGTTCCTTTGCATGTCTAATATTACCATCAACCCCTTCTACAAAATCCTCCCGCAATCTAAAATTCCAATACATAAACCAAAATTCCAATTCATAAACAAAAATTCCAATTCATAAACAAAAATTCAAGTCATATCCTAAAGGTTCTAGTCATATCGTAAAGGTTCTAGTCAAAATTTATATAAAAGTAAATCAAAATACTTTATGAAAAGTAAAAAACTTACATGTATGTAGTCGAGGCTCGACCCTCCTTGCTTCATTGGCATCATAAAGCTGTCTGGTGGCTTTGATACAGAGAATAACTTGGATACAGTACCTGGCAGAGTGTGTCTTTGATCAATTGTTGATCTCATTAGCTACAATGATAATGAGAAGGCAACGACATGTATTTCAAAATAGTGATGGTGTAGGTAGGATTTAACATTTCCTAAGTAGATAAAAGAGATTATAGAGAAATTTTCTACTTCACTTTTCAAGAGAAAAAGAAGTTTGATTGATAGTGACAAGGTTGATGAAGACGGAAGGTTTTCCGTTGGTCGTCGCAGTTCCCATAAAACGTGGATCATAAGACTCTATGATGACAAAGATCATAGGAAGTTTTGTGCTCATCTTTCTTCCAAGTCTGATCGGTACAAGCTTGTACGGATCAGACTCGAAAGAAAGTTGAGTACAAAACTTCGTATAATCTTTGTCATCATAGAGTGTCATGATCCCCGTTTTATGGGAACTACCATGACCAACGGAACACCATCCGTCTTCATCAACCTTGTCACTCTCAATTAAACTTCTTTTCCTCATGGAAAATGAGGTACAGAATTCCTCTATAAGCTCTTCTTTTATCTACTTAGGAAATATTAAATTCCTACCTACACCATCACTATTTTAAACACATGCCATTGCCTTCTCATCATCATTGTCACTAATGAGAAGAACAATTAAAGGCACATTCCACCAGGTACTGTGTCTTAGTTATTCTTGGTGGAAGTTCCTTTGCATGTCTAATAACGTCATCAACCTTTTCTACAAGAACAAAACCTAAAAACTAAAAGTTATATTCATATCCTACGAGATTAAACATAAACTAAAGGTTCAATACATATGCTAAAGATTCAATACATATGCTAAATGTTCAATTCATATCCTAAAAATTCAACTCATACATAAAAGATTGACTTTATATCCTACAAGTTCAACTCATATCCTAAAAGGTTCAATTCATATCCTAAAAATTCAACTCATACATAAAAGCTTCACTTTATATCCTAAAAGTTCAACTCATATCCTAAAAGGTTCAATTCATATGCTAAAGGTTCAATACATATGCTAAAGGTTCACTTTATATCCTACAAGTTCAACTCATATCCTAAAAGGTTCAATTCATATCCTAAAAATTCAACTCATACATAAAAGCTTCACTTCATATCCTAAAAGTTCAACTCATATCCTAAAAGGTTCAATTCATATCCTAAAGGTTCAAGACAATACAAAGATTCAAGGTTATAATTCAAAGTTTAGGGTTATAATTCACAAGAAAAAATCATAAACCCTAAAAGTTTAGGGTTTCTTCTCTTCTAACCATTTCATCCCCAAATTAGTAGGTAAAACTAAATTAGTAGCTACTAACAATTATCATAGATTTAATTTAGCTAAGAACAATTAATTTTTACAAATCAAACTAGAAGGAATTAAACAAAATCAGTGTATTTCGAAAAAAATAAAGAAAGGAGAGAGAAACCTACCTGGACAGTGGAGGACACCGGTGGTGGAGCAGCTGCCACCGGCGGGCGTCAGTGGAAGCGGTGGCGCCGCTGCTGGAGGGAGACGGAAGGGGAGGGGGTGTTTGAGAGTGAGAGAGAGAAGAGAGGGATTGGGGAAAAGTTTTGAAGAAAATAAGAGAATGGGAGGGGAAACCTGTAACGACCCGGCCGGTCGTTTTTGGAATTTACGCCCCGATCACCCATTAAATGCTTCCCCTAAGTTCATTTCTGCTTTTTTGGTTTGCCGGGACGTTCGGTGTTGGGATTCGGAGTGTTTTGGGACACTTAGTCCCTAAATGAGAGCTTAAGAATTGAAAAATGGTCCGTAATCGGAACAGTGTGAAGAAGACCTCGGAATGGAAATCCGATGGTTCCGTTAGCTCCGTTAGGTGATTTCGGGGTTGGGAGCGTGTTCGGAATGTATTTTGGAGGCTCGTAGCTCATTTAGGCTTGAAATGCCGAAGTTTGAATTTTTGAAGTTTCCGGTCCGATAG